TTACCTTGAATTAAGAAAGAAGATGAAAAAGCTTTTGTCGAAGAAGAAACTTTTAAAAAGTGCTAGTACAGAAAATGTTCTCGAGAAACACGCAAACAAACCGACAATCGCTTGGAATCTTCTTGAATCGTCACAAGTTGTGAAAGAAGTTAAGCGGATGGATTGTAATCATCCAAAGCCGGATGGCCATACCAGATTCGTTTGCATTTCTGACACACACAACAGAACAGACAGGCTGGAATACCCTATTCCTGATGGTGATGTTTTAATACACGCAGGAGACTTCACAAGTTGTGGAACACGCGATCAAGTCATCCACTTCAACAAATTTTTAAGTACTTTGAGCCATCCTTACAAAGTTGTTATCGCTGGCAACCACGAAGTTGGTTTTGATCTTTCAAGTTACGACTCTTTGTGGTCTTACTTTTCAAGTAACAAAGATGAACCAGAAGAAATTCGACGACAGCTCACAAACTGTATATATTTAGAAGACGAGGAAGTTGATGTCCTTGGATTTCGAATTTTTGGTTCTCCATGGTGAGAAATCTTTCACCAAGACATTCCATTTTTATCCGCTCCCCCTTCCTCTCCTCATGGGAGGCGTGAGGCATGATTGTGACCATCTTTTTTATTATAATGTAAGCTATGGAGAAAATGGAATGTCTGATTATCGTTAGCGATGCTTTATAAACTCGAAATACATAATAATTTTTTGGAGTACAGGATATCCCTTGTGACAATAGTGAAATTCGTTTAATGTAAAACACCACTCGAGACTTGTTACAGCAACAAAACTACGGACTTTGATAAAGTATCTTGCTGTTTAGGACTGGTTTTGGTTGCAGAGGTAATTCTCTGCCCCCAGGTTAGTTGTTTTTTCCAAACATAAAATTTTAATCTGCAACTTGTTTCAAACCATTAATCATTACTAATGCCTGTCCCCTCTTACATAAGTCTCTCTCTCTCCCTCTTTTTTTTTTTACTCAACTCTCTTAATTTTTTTTTCTCATTAGTCTGATAAGACCTCTTTTTCAGGACACCAGAGTTTTGTGACTGGGCCTTTATGAAAGCACGTGGTGAATCAATACAAGAAATGTGGAACAAAATTCCTGATGGCATTGATATCCTTGTCACCCATGGTCCACCTCTTGGTAATTTAACAATGAATTATAAATATTTTGTCATTATGTTGTTAAATTTAATAGAATGTACAACATACAGCAAGAGAAAGTAAAACTCAAACAGGCGATGCTGAGTGCAAAAATTAAGGGCCAAATTCCATTCCTAGTGAAAATGTGAAAGATGTTATGTATTTCACCCAGCGATGTTCATTTTTTTTTATAGTTATACATCAACTGAATAAGGTGGCAAATTAAAATCATGTATCATTATAACTAGAAATATGTTACCAGAAAAACCTCGCAAGCTAAAAATTGTGAGTAGTGAGAATAAAGGGAAACAAGCAAAAGGGAAAAATGTGATGAAAAAAGAAAACAAAAAAAACTAAAACTAAACAGAAAAAAATGTGAAAAAAAAAGAAAACAAAAATATCCACATGGAGATTCAAACCTACACTATGACTACCTCCTGTGCGAGAGTACAGCTCCCTCATGACCAATAGGCTACGCAGGCACTGAATAGTTACATGTAACATGGTCAAAATATAACGGTTCAAGCACTTTTCTCTGCCATACACACTACATGTTTGAAGCTTGTGGAGCTGAATTCAAAGATACATTTTGAGGAAAATTAGCTTAAATGAGTATTCAAAGCCATTTTGTATTATTTTGGTGTTAATTCACTCTTGGTCTTAACGGCCAATCAATGTACGGAGCTGAGCTGAGACCGGCCAGTCTTTGATTCAGCATAGTTCATTTGATCCATCGGTCACATTGATCGGATGGGGAAAGAACCAATTCATTGTGGGTGTGCCTTGGTGTCAGAACAAACACATCGCATGACCTATCAAGCTTTAAGCTTAAAATCGCCTGCAAAGTGGGATGCATGCACCGTTATGTTCTTTTACCTCGATTTTCACTCATTTCTTTTAAGCTACTTGTCCAAATTGCTTTAATGTTCTCTGTAAAATGCTTTCTGTGTTGAAATTAATTGACAAAAGCTTGATCACCAAAACAGCCGCAAAAACAGTCAAAACAACGCTGACCAATGCTCCTTGACGTCACACTGGACATCAATATATGATGCCCCCAGGACTGCCAGTGGCAGATCCAGACCTTCAGATAAGGGGACGGTCCCAGTCATCCAGACCATGAGCAAAGGTGGGGGCCCCAGTCTAAGCATTTTTTTTTCGGCCCTTCGGGCCTCAGTTTGGTCTTAAAATAAGGAAGGGGGGGGTGGGCAGGCCCCCCAGGCCCCTCCCCTGGATCCACCACTGACTGCAGATACTTAACCAATAGAAAGGAAGATTTAATTATAACTAAAGCAAGATCATTCTTCACTTGGCCATTTCATGGGAGCCACACACGATGCAAATTCCGAAAGATTTATTAACCTTCCTTTCTCCAGAAATTATTTTTTATTGCATTCTCAAGTAGGATTTAAACTGATACATTAAAAAACTTTTGCAGGCCATGGAGATCGCACAATATCAAACGTAAGAGCAGGATGCCTTAATCTCTTGCACACCGTCCAGTCCCGTGTCAAACCCAAGTATCATATTTTTGGGCACATCCATGAAGGTAGATGTACAATTTTGTTGATGTTATTATTGTTATTGTTATTGTTATTATTATTATTAAACTTAATAATTACCTAACCAATTGCAACCAACACTCAAGGTAAAATCTATTTCAGTTTAGACTTTTAACAAAAACATGCATGAAGCGGAACTTTCACCGAGTGTACAATGCGCTAATAACAATCAGCTGAAATGCTGAAACTTACTAACAGTAACAGCTGAAACTTACTAACAGTAACAAAAGATAGCAGAAAACCTTTAGTTACTTGAAAAATACCCTTTAAAACAACATTGCCTTTGAGAATCACCAGACAAAGTTGATGGTCCAAGACCTTCGATCCTTATTACACCACAGAGACCATCAAAGGCCAGTAAAACGTCAGTAATATACACTATACCTTTTACTAACATATCTGCTTAACTTGTGGTACAATATTTTTTTTCAGCTTTGAATTTTATTTTGCTTTATTTTTAAAGTCAATGACATACATAATAATTTTTTTAAAAATAAAGCCAATAAAATTTAAACCAAGGATTAAATCTAGTCTCAAGATTACATTCAATCTCTTTTTACAGGTTATGGAATAACTACAGATGGAGTTACAACATTTGTAAATGCCTCAACAGTTACAGTGCAATACAGACCCTCCCATCCACCAATTGTTTTTGATCTTCCAAACAAGTCAACTCTTGAACAAGAAGAAAAGTAACACAATGTTTGATTTCTGGTGATTCTAAAGGAACGGTGTAATAGAATCTTCATAATTTTTGTTCTTAAAGAATGTCTGATGCTTATTCTTCACATTTTGGATTACTATAAATAATACCTCATTATTACATTTACCTTTAGCTTCAGATGTTCTTTTAAAAGTCATGGCCTCCTGACCCCCTCTTACTCAGAATTTCCAGTGACCCTCCATGGACTGGGTATTGAAATTTTCTAGACCCAGTGATTTGACAAAATTATAATGTGTGCAATTAATTATTATATTATTTAATGTTTTTCTATTATTTATTATTATTAGATCAACAGTAGATGTAGAGTGATGTTACTTGACCCATGAAACAGATATATATTACGTAAAATCACACTAACATGACTACATGTATAATTTCATTGACAAGTACATGACTTGTAAAATTGTTACCAGAATGTATTGGAATTAAACTATTAATGTTGTATATCAGCCAAGCAGGCAAAAGGCCTCATTAAAAAATTCAAGCAACTGATAAACTAGTAACATTAGGCCAAAAAAATACATTTCCCTATGTGAATTGGGACTTTTACACCCTTAGCCATTAATTTTTACTGATAATTTAACAATATTTAAATGATTTTAATAACATTTTATTGGCTAATAAAAAGTGGTATCAGTATTGAGTGGAGTTCAATCATGTCTTTAATCAAAGCATCGGAATAATAACAAAATCAGACAAGGTTTTAAGGCTTGTTTATAGTGCAAAGTGCAGTTAGCTTATCCAGCTAATTTACAGGCACTCCACCCAAATACTTAGAAACATATAATTCAAATACAACATAACACAATTAAAAACCCCAACTGGCAGGAGGCAACCAGTTGGGTCTTTACAAGCATGGGTGAGGATTTGAATACAGGGTGACCAACTAACACATCCAGCAAGTCAACAGAGTGGGACTCGAACCTGGGACTGCCGTATTGCGGGTCTGACACAATGACCACTCGGCCACGCTGCCTCCTTAAAGCCAAAGCAGGAGTCCAATTTGTTTGATCAACAAAAAGATCTATTAAACCAATGCGTCATAACTATAACAAAATTTTTTCTTATTATTTTTGTGAATTAAACACACACAAGATATCCCCAAGGTTTTTTGCTCAAAGTGAAAAAAGTGTGTGGAGATGGCCTGTACATGTACTGTGCAATTTTACATTGGAATGACCATACTGTTCTATCACACTGTCCCATTAGTGCTGAAGACAGAGCAGTTGCTAGCCATTTGGATGAGATAATTTTGTTACAGTTATGATAACTGTTAGTAACAAAATAATCCATGACTTGCAAATGGAGGTTTAAACTAAGGTGTTTGTGGCAGTTTTCTACTAAATTTCATATGAAGATTTTTCTTAACTGGTGAATAGATACTAGGCAAACAATTCTATTGAGGCTACCAGAAATGATAAAAAAACACAACATCTGTCTGAAATCAAACCTACATGTAAGTGTAGATAGTATGTATTTCATAGTATATTCCCTCTTCACCAAACTTTTCTGAACCCTGTAGACAATGTATGATGCAAGCAATAAATTATGAATGTCCTACAGACTAGCTATCTTTCATGGCAATTAAATTTTTAAGCATGTCAAAGCTGTTTCCATCTGGTTGTACTGATAGAGTTTTTCCAGAGTTTGTCTGTACTGACAGAAATCCAAAATCATCGAGCCCAGTTATCTTGACTTCCTCCACAGTTCCATTCATTGCCAGCTTCACCCTTGCATCACTACAACAATAACAAATAATTATTTTTATATTATATGGTGATTAATAGGGTTGGTATCAATCCAAGTATGCTGTTTTGTGACTTTTTCGATCCGCATATCTTTACCCAATCTCTGTTTGACTGGTATTGCTTATCTCCACAAAAATAATATAATTTGAATTTAGAAAGCTACACAATCAGTGCACCTGTACATTATTTTTAGAAAATGCTTTGGCAAAAGCTAGATAAAAATAATAGGTAGTTATTCAAATTGTGTCCACCAGCACAGGGTGCAGAGAAAATCATTTTTACAGATTGCCATTCGGCAAGCTGAAGCTAGCATTTACTAGCCCAGATGTCATTTCAACTAGCCCCAAGAGCTTTTTGATAAGCAGAATTGATTTCACCGTTCTTCTGTTATTCGAATTCCTCAAAAAACATCACCTGCCCGTCGGACAAGTTGAAAACAGAATTCACTAGCCCGCACAATCCCCCGATAGCAAAATCCACTAGCCCTGGGCTATTGGAGACTATACTTTCTTCGTATGCTGCAAAGAAAGACACTTTTCAGACACTAATGAAAGAATCATCCAGGAAGTTCCAAAACATTTAGTAAAAACATGTTAACAGGCTATTTTAATTAATTCTAGTTCAAAATATAGAACTTGTAAAGCCAAAAAAAAAAAAAGAAAGGAAAAAAAGGAGAAAAACTTGAAGTTTTGAAGAACGTTTTTGAATTTTTTTGCAATATACATGTACACAAAAACGTAATATTATTATTGTTCCTAACTATAAAAATGATACAAAGATGATAACAGAAAGAGAAAAAACCTGTGTAGCCAATGCTTGTAGTAGTTGGTTAGAAATGAATCTGATCCATTGTCTTGGAAGTCATCAACAAGGGCCTCCATGTTGTTAACAGTCCTTGCCAGTATTTCCTCTAAAACTAGTGGCTCTAAGTTGGTGTTATGCTCCTTGTTGTGTTGGGATATGATCTCATTGATGCTGATGGTTGGTTTACTGTTAGCAAGGTTTACACCCATTCCTAAAATAAATATTTAAAGTTAAAACAAATTTACTAAAGCTGTTTTATAGTAAATTACAATTAGAGGACCTGAAGCAAAGCTAGGGCACATGGATCTTATGCCATTGAAATTTTTATAGGGTTAAGATGATGAATCAGTTACACTTGATTATACATTGATTATAAATTGTAAGATTCCAAGGTAAATAATACATGTAAGCCCCCCTCCAAAAATGTATTGAAATGCATATTGTCATATACCTATGACTGCACTCAGAGTACCACTCATAGCAGATGATGTCACGATAACACCTCCGATCTTGACCTTGTCACCAAAATAAATATCATTTGGCCACTTGAGACAAATGTTTATCTCCTAAAACAGACAATGTGTAAAACAAAATAATTTTTACAATACAATATAAAAACTACAGTTACAAAATATCTCTCAAAAGGGGATATCTAGAGGTCAACCCTATATACAGTGTAAAAGATTCCCCAAAATAAAAGATGAAAACTTTAAGGTAAAATCTAGAATACAGAGAGAAAAATCTAAAACCCAAAAACTAGAATAAAAAACATCATTTGCACATCATAATTAAAACTATTTACAATATTGTATCAATCAATATTCATATAAATCAATAATCTGTTGCAAAATAAAGTCAGCGATCCTGCGATCCTGACAATCAGTACAAAGAAAGAATATTTGTAGCAATTTAGGATGGCAACTTTTACATAGAGCTTATAATCATGACTGGCTCAAGTTCGATTACATTTAGAAAAAGTCCGAAAAAAAAAAGACTATCTATTCCAAAAGCTATCTTGTAGCACTGAACTAGAGATAAGAACTCTCTATGTTACTTCAGAGTTTGCCAATTCAGTAAGCGGCTGCGGTCTTCATAGCTCATTTTTCCGCACTTTTGCGTTAACGCCAACCGTGATGCTCTTCTTTGAACTTTTTCCAAGGATTCAATATCCTTTTTTTGGTAGGGGCTCCAGATGGGGGCAGTGTATTTGAGTATATAGGTCTTACCAATGACTTAAAGAGACAAGAAAACACATACCAATTCATTTCTGAGTGATCGCTTAATTACACATAAGACTTTGTTTGCCTTGTTTACTATGTAGGAGACGTGTTTACCCCAAGATAGATCGTAGTTTATTGTGACCCGTAGGTCCTTGACACTTTCAACAGATTTTAGTTGCACACCTAGAGAGTAACTTGGCTTAGATCTGTCCCTACTGTGCGTTGCACGCATGACTTGACATTTTTTAGGATGAAAGCGCAACTACCACTTGTTAGCCCAATCACTTAATCT